TTATAGAAATTAGCTTAATGGTCTTATAAGTAAATCAGGAGAAAAAACTGACAAGTAATCAGTAATTTCAGGGCAACGAACGTAAGATAAATTACTATATAGTTCCTTACAGACTAGCAAAAACTTCAACATACAATATAATGGTGAAGGTAATTAATCATAATCAAAATTAATACGCGAAGTAACCTTACAATAATTAGAGTAAAATTTGAAAGTACAATTAATTTAAATATTTGCAACAAATTTTTTGCATGTAAAGTTTAAAATGATTTTTTGCGGACGTATATTTCCTTGTAGACAGTTTTATCATTTTAAATATTCGTAGATATGTCCAGTTTTGAGAAAGGTTATACATTAAGTATATAACGATTTTTTCTATACTGTTAATTCGCCCAATATATTACCCAAGGACCACTCACGGTATAAGGGTTACTGAGTGAGATTGTTGTAAGGTGGGGCGTAGTGGGGGATTTAAAATGTGCCCATTATATGAACGCAGAGAATATTGACAAGTTACTTTAAAATTTAGTACAGGTCCAATATCCCTCATCCGAAATCTTTGGGGATAATTGAGTTCCGTTTTTAGAGCTTTTCGGATTATAGAATAACGATAGTCAGGTAAAAAAAAAACAAAAACAAAAAACAAAACAAAAAACAAACAAAAAACCCCAAACAAACAAAAAAAACCCCAAACAACAACAACAAAAAAAACCCAAACAAACAAAAAACAAAGAAAAAAAATAAAAGAAATTATGACTGACAGAAAAGAACACTTAAGTTTAAGGAAAAAACACGAATAGATAATATAGTTCTATATTGGTATAATTATATTATGGGCGCGCGGACGAATGGTTAGAACGTTCGCTTTCTGACCATGAGACCGGGGTTCGAATCTCACTATGGTCGATTTGACAAATTTGGGAATAGATACCTTTGTACTTTGGAAAGTACAAAGCCACAAGTCAGCGTGGTGGAGGGCTTGTTCAAATTGTTGATCACGATAGATAACACGCTCTCAGAAACTGTAACTATAGTTGCAATATAAACCAGAGACGGCAATAGGGATTGTCTAGCCGCCCTAGTAGACGGGTATCCTCGAATATTATTTATATTCCATAAACACATGTAAAAGTGAAATTTATTTCTAAAAAGAACATTAGGTAAAACTTAAAAGTCATCTGACTGTCGCTAGTGGAGAGACGCTCTTGTTGGTTGCCACACCCTTCTATGTCTCTTCTGTCACACTTTTTTTTTTTTTTTTTACCAAGCAGAAGGAGGATTATTTGTATCGTTATCGTCATTGCTACGAAGGACCTGGGTGTCCGATGTTGACTCCCGTGCTGACATTGCGTTCCTACGAAGAGCCTTTGTAAACATTTCTGTGAATGTCGTCTGTTTCATCAACTTCGCTTTCTCGGTCGCCAATTTCTCTTTAATTGAACAAACTGACATAATTTCCTGCTCACTGATAGATTCTCATTTGTTCAATCTCATTAATTAACTGGTCACGCAATATTGTCGTTATTACTATTGTTTTCGTTCTTTTCTGTATTTAACAACATGTTAGTATCAGTTCGCATCGTCTGTTTGTTTACAACACCGCAGGACCAAACGTACCGGACTTTCTATACCGCTACACCAGGCTCACTTTCAGTTATGCGACTCCATGGAAAAAAAGTGTTGTTTTCAGATTTTTTTTTTAACATTGGACGTTCGGATTCGGAATTGTACAATCTTATTGACTTAGAGAAGCTGACGTTTAGTTTAAATTGTCATTGACTCTTTTGATATATTGTCCTTTTTCTCATTACTTTGAGTAAAAAGAGAATCGATTGGCGTAGATTTGTATAGCCGAGCTGGTATTGTTTTTAAATGTCTGTCTATTACCTGTTGCAAAGTCAAGTATTCATTTTTTTCAGGAGATGTAAACTCGAAGGTTTTTGAACTTACTAAAAAACAACAGCGACTTGCTGCAAAATCTCTTTTTATTCCTCGTGATATATTTTATACTACGTCCGCAATTTTTAAATTTTAGTTAGATTTTATTTTTGCTGTTTCCTGGTCCTCTTTTGTGTATTTTGTTTTAATAAGACTGTGAAGTCTTTACGTATTTTTCTTTTTAATATCATATTGCTTCAGGACGTAGGAGATCTTGAATTTCCAGTGATTACCTTTTATATTAACTGTGAAATACTATGTGTTCTAGAAAAGTTAGTACACTGACATCGTGTTGCCTTTGCCACAGTTTTGAATTCTGAGTAGTTATTTCCCTGGAGTTGCTACCAACCTAGGTGATCGTGTCACTCCACTGCTTCCCTTTCTATTTTTGTGGGTCTTACGATCATATCACGTTGAGACTCCGGTTCTCGCCCCATCACCGAAATTAAGCAATGTCGAGCCTAGACAGTACCTAGATGGGTGACCGCTTGGATGTGCTGGTAGTGTAATCGATAACGGCTCGGAATCGGAAATCGGAAAAAGAGCCGAGTTCCAATTTTAGTCGGGTTCCTTATATTCACTTATGGGCAAATAGCCTTGGGAAAGGCATGAACCCACTTCTTCTCCCTCCCCCCGGATATGGGTTAATTAGTAGGATCTGTATCAGTAAATGACTATTTCCAAAATATTTTTAGAATCTAGAAATATCTTTTGGCTTTGAATAACCTGCAAAAGGTTGGTAGTCCGTAAAAGACAATTCAATCAATTTATTTTATCTGTGGTTGTTTAAGTATGATAGTGGTTTCCCGTTAGTGCTTTCTTTTCTCATCGCTGGGGGAAGGGTCGGGTTCATGCCTTACTGAAGGACATTATTGCGAAAGTGAACGTAACAGAACAACCCGTAGATTGAACCTAGCCAACTGATTCCACTTTTCATGACGATATCCGTTACGCTAACCTAATATCGTCTGTATTTTGAATATTACTACACCTCCCACACAGAGACAGATTCACGCACGCACACACACACACACACACACACACACACATAATAAGAAAATATTAAGCGTATATATGGTGTTGGCTTTGACATATTCAGAGAAGTTTGTCAATATTATCACAAGACAAAAAAAAAAAAAAAAAAAGAAAAGAAAAGAAAAAAACCCAAAGCAAACAAACAAATAATATAGTTATTCTCACCTGCTTGAGGCTGCAGACAGAGTGGGGGTGATCTTTGTTGAACTCAGTACCAAGAAGTGTTCGACGATGGATATGAACAATATATGTATTCACGACCAAGGGCTCTGGATGGGTAACATCTACCACCACTAAAGTAACTCGGTTGGTGCCTACCCCGAGGGTGTAGTTGGCGGGTCTACGAGGAAGAGAAGAGACAATGTGTTAACACATTTACACTTGTATGAAGGTTTGAAAACAAAATGTATCTACAACTTTGTTCATATATAAAGAAGAAACGAATATCAGTTTGGATCGTTACTTTAGGCGCTTAACACACTTTTATCGAATACAGTGTAAAATGCCAATCATTCATTTGACAGATTGCATCTCCTTTCGATTGTTTAAAACTTAACACTATCATTCCCGTCTTAGTTTTTACGATGATTCAGTAAATAAGATATAACATTATTGTCAGGTATAAACATTTTTCTAGCTTTAGCCAAATTTGTTCTGCAGTTAGTTTTGTATTATGGACCCTTAAATATAATAAAATATATTAATATCGTTGCTAAATTATTGAACTAACTTACAAAGCATTTACATTAGTCGGACTATTGTCCTCATCTTTGTCGCCATATTTGTCACAACGTTTCGGCCGTTGTACGCTCCGGTCTTCTTCAGGTGGTTGGAATTTCGAACTGAACCCTTTATTTCAATCACTGGGGTAGACTGTTCTAGTTCCACGTGCCATGTTTGATGGATGTCAGTTATCAGTTATCTCCTGCTAATTTTCCCTCTGAAAGTTCTCCACTGCCTTAACCTTGAGGACACATGGTACAGTGGATAAAGGCGTTGGTTAGATCCAGTGACAGACCCAAAGAATGTGAGTTCAATTCCTGGTTAAGGCAGTGGAGAACTTTCAGAGGGAAAATTAGCAGGAGATAACTAATAACTGACATCCATCAAACATGGCACGTGGAACTAGAACAGTCTACCCCAGTGATCGAAATAAAGGGTTCAGTTCGAAATTCCAACCACCTGAAGAAGGCCGTAGCGTACAACGGCCGAAACGTTGTGACAAATATGGCGACAAAGATGAGGACAATAGTCCGACTAATGTAAATACTGTACATAATATCTCATCTCAGAAATATAGACAGACTCTAACTTACAAAGATTGTGATAAAAAGACATATTTAAAAGGTAAAGAGAAACATTTTACTTTGTAATATAAAATATAATAAAAAGGCATATAATCAAGTTGATCGCTTATTGGAGACATTTACAACACCTTTAAAAGGTAGAGAAATAATTTTTTATATTACAAAATGTAACCTAAAGGCATATAATGAAGTCAGTAGGTTATTGACGTGACCTTATGGTTAAAAATGACACGCCTAAAAGGAAAAAAGAAAGCTTTTATATATAAAATATTATCAAAATACATTTGATGAAGTAGGTATGTAATTGAATTAACTTACAAAGGCTAAAAAAAGACAAGTCTAAAAGGTAAAGGGAGACCTTTTACATATAAAATATACCGTAAATTGCGGTGTACAAGTCGGGTTTTCAAGCCTAAAAATGTTTTCAAAACCAGGGACCGACTTATATGGCGGGTATAAAATGCAAACCTTTACCAGCGAGTTGTAAACAAGTTAGACAGCACTCTTAACAATTACTGTACACCACTTTCCTCCAGCTGCCACAAATATATTTGTGTTTGGTGAACATATTTCGCATATTAACACGGAAATTAATATAAAATAATAAAATAGTTATGTTGTGGATTCCGGAATGAAATCCGGTCTCAAATAAATGACAAACGCAGGAATGAAATACAGCAAATAAATGTATTGACGTAATAATACAATTGGTAATACGGTTAGTAGATCCAGAAATGCGGTTAGTAGCAATAATAATATATATACAGTCTGGGAAATTCAGTAACGAAGTATGACTTCCTTCTGAGTCTACGTGCACAAAACTGTGACTCCTACAAAGCGGTTACCTCATACTCTCACTCTCTCACTGTATCACTATCTGACTTTCACTCCCTGGGTATTCACCGACAGCAGTACAAGTACACACTGGGCGAGTCCACTTGTATACAAAGGGGTTAACAAGTTACACAAATTCTGTATTCCATTAACGCTACAGTACACATTGTGTCCAACTGCTGATACAATAAGTGTAAATACTAACGAAAAGCTGTCTCAATATACGGGTAAATGGTGTGACATTATGTAGTTTTGGCTCAGGTTATCGTATACCGTAGCCTAACTTCATTTACCGATATGCTCAAGTTTTTGGATACTGTTAACCTACCGTATGTTTAGGGGTCGACCTATACAGTTAAAATACAAAATCTTGAGGTCAATTTGAACGCCAGGTGGACTTGTATGTAAGGTAGACTTGTACGCCATGTAGACTTGTACGCCATGTAGACTTGTACGTTGCAATTTACGGTAATCAAAAATATTTAATGAAGTTGGAATTAAAGTAAACTATAAAGACGGCAAAAAAGACATGTCTAAAAGGTAAAATGAAATCTTTTATATATAAAATATAATCAAAAAAATTTAATGAAGTTTGCAAGTAATTAAAGTAACCCACAAAGGTAGTAAATAAAAGCACACGTCTAAAATCCACAGAGAAATCTTTTAGTGAAAAAGTCGAGGGTTGAATAATTTAGACGTCAAATGAAAACTGAAGAATTCATTGACTCTATGAATGTTTTAAATTTGTATTCATCTTTCTATGATCAACAAGCTGAAAAACTGGACATTATCATGCATTAGTTGATAATAAAAAATCTTATGGAGGCACTTTGTAAAACCATCTTTTAGGCTCGATGTACAGATGCTACTGTTTTATTCGATTACATATTTGTTGTAGCATACCTACGGACGATAATGGGTATACAACAGAAATCCAAAGAAATAATAAAAATAATAAAAGAACGGATCACACCTTACGAAGGGCTTTATATATGTAAAAACTGTGTGATCTGAGATTTATTTTAAAAAAATGCTCAGTTGAAAATGTCATGATACCATTTCTAACCTGAGATTTCTGGTTGGGACACGGAAGTTAATGAGTATACAAACTAAAAAGAAAGAAAGAAATCAAAGGAAATAAAATAATAGTAATAATAATATGCGTCTATATCTCCGAGATGAGGTATTATGATTACTTGCATTATTTACATTATTCGGACTGTTATCCTCATCTTCATTACCATATTCACAACGTTTTGGCCTCTACATCTCTGAGACGAGGTATTATGATTACTTGCATTATTTACATTACTCTGACCATTATCCTCATCTTCATTGCCATATTCACAACGTCTAGCCACAGCGGTAGTGAATTAAAACTTGCAGAGTTGAGTTAAAGGAAAATAACTGACTGAGACATCCGGAAGCGACACGGAACGTGGAACTATAACAATCTACCTCGGTAAACGAAATAAAGGGTTCGGTTCCCCTAGGGACTGATGCAATGTGCACCTCTGTTCATGAACGAGAGTAATGGAGGAGCATCATGGTCGGGTATTGGGTTTTTTGTTTGTTTGAAGGATCAGGCAGCCAAGGCAGTTTGGGAGCCATATTTAGACACCTGAGAACGCCCTCAACCGAGACTTTCTGTACAAATTGTTACCCGAACTGAAGTTATTTTTAACTGGGCACCGACTGTAAGGTCATGTGCTGCCTTTATTAAAACCTGTCATCATATCACGCAGATTTGACTGTGATGCCTGGCATATCCTTATCAGTGGGTGTCATGATGGCTATGACTGGGCTTTGCGCACCAGCGTTACTTTGTTGGCGTGCTGTTTGCTCACCCAATAGTAATACAAATTGATAATGCTTCAACTAAGAAATTTGAATACTGTTACGTCATCATTGGCAGTAAATTTACCTTCAAAATAGAATTAATCTGTCGGTTTACAAAAATATGATACGGTATATCTTGTCATTTTCAATCAAATCAAAATAGCAACGAATGAACGATTTTCTTTCTAAATAATTTGAAAGAAGCAGACAAGTATTTCAGCGCTTATCAAAATCAACGAGATAACATTTATTTGTTTTTATAACATAAATGTTTTAAGAAAACCTTTAATGCTTCAATAAAGATAATTTTAAAATTGTCTGATTAATAAAGATTTATTTTTGGTTTCCCAGTTGTATTTATCGTTTTATTTTTATGCATCTTGTTTTAAACTAATTACTATGAATGTAAATCTTACTTTTGCATTGATACTTTCATAAGCACTACTTAAATAGACTCGTAAAAAATAAGGAAATTTTTCGTGGAATAATTTTTTTAGATTAAGCTGCCATATTTGTCAGAATAAAAAAATATTGGGTTTTTATCGAGGGGTTATGTTTATAATATAGAAACAGTGCCAAATCAATATCTGACTTTTACAAAGATATCGGCACTTGGCTTTTTTATTTACAAATGTCATGCCTTAAAATATACTTACATCACTGATATATGCATATTTTTAATACTTTTCTTAATTTACGAGGGTGGATTGAAATGTTCTAGGCTGACTATGAAGGAGTGATACTAGGGCTATGAAATTTTGTATGCATTAATTTCAACTCTTTTTTTCATTATTAATAACTGTATTGTTTCTTTCCAGATAAACTGGCAAAATAAACCTCATTTGGTGACATTCCATGAGTGTATCTTGATCAGCCCATAAACTTTTCAGCCGATCCTCGTATGTTGATTTTTAATTAAAAAATGTGGCACAACTTTAAAATGTATACATTTTGTTTTTTTTGGGTTTTTTACTGACAATGATCTTTTTGTAAGAAAATAAATTTTGCCAAAAATAGCTTACTAAATATATATATTTTTTAAAAATAAAACACATCAAAATGTATATATCCGTTTGTTTTTTTATTTAAAAGAAATCTTTTGTCAAAGTAAAATGGCCGTTTTTGTAAGCAGATATCAGTGACGTATACACAGTTTGAAACTTGTTGCAAACTGAATGCTATATTCCGATAACTCTGTAGAAGTCAGAGATCGATTTTACAATGTAACGAGATTATAAACAGGACATTCCCTTCTAAGTCGACGAAGCATCAAAATTTTTCGATTCTGACAAGTGTAGCTGCCCCACGATCACAAGTCTCGTAACTCATTAAGGTTGTAGCGGCCCCACGATCACGAGTCTCGTAAACCAGGTGGGTTGTAGCGGCCCTACGATCACGAGTCTCGTAACCCAGGAGGGTTGTATCGACCCCACGATCACGAGTCCAGTATCCCAGGTGGGTTGTAGCGGCCCCACGATCACGAGTCTCGTAACCCAGGTGGGTTGTAGCGGCCCCACGATCACGAGTCTCGTAACCCAGGAGGGTTGTATCAACCCCACGATCACGAGTCCAGTATCCCAGGTGGGTTGTAGCGGCCCCACGATCACGAGTCTCGTAACCCAGGTGGGTTGTAGCGGCCCCACGATCACGAGTCTCGTAACCCAGGACGGTTGTAGGGGCACCACACGTACTGCAGTCGTAGGAGCAGCGATGTTTCCTGGGCATGATAACCTGATTTGCATAACCCTCTGGTTGAATTCAGAGTTTTCCTTTTTCTAAACTAGGCGCCAATGAAGGCTTTAGGACCCAATCTGTCCCGTTATTTACTCACAGCTTTAAGACATAGATTCATATCTTTCCCAATGTTATTAGTAAGTAAGTGAATGCAATGGACCCGACTAGAATTCGAAATTGACTCTCCGATTCCTCAATCCGAGACGCTATCCGTGTCTCCTAAGAATGCTAATCTAAAAAGATTATTTACAAAATATTTTCCCTATTTATTTCGAGTGGACCAGTTTTTTTTCAATAGTATCCTTTGATATGTTCCGAACTACTTACTTTTGGGCTGATTGAACTGAAGAAGCATGGTAGCTCTCTTACCAGAAAGGCTCCCACCCTCCAAATTCTTCTGGGGGGATTGACAGAGGAGGAGATGGGTTTTTTCCCGTCGGGATGGATGCTGCAGATGTAGCGTCTGTTTCGTGCCGGAGGCCTTCTCTTTCTTTGCTTTCCTCACACCGTTCCGTGACATCAGCTACGTAGAGGTGGTATGACTAGCTATGACTAGCTTAGACAAGCTCTGATCATCTTAGACAAGCTAAGACCAGCTTAGACCAGCGGCCCGAGTGTTTTCACTCGGGTCTCTATGTTAAAAACCGACCTTGTGTCACAACCTGCCTCAGTGGTGGGTCAAGTAAATCTCGGACGGAAGAAGCATGTTTTTCGTATATACAAATGATAAATATGAAAACAGTTAAATTTATGACGCCATTTAAGTACACCATCTTACCTTGATACACCGAATTTGTCATCCATCCTGGCTTCACATTGGCAGCTTCGAGCGAAGGCCCAAATTTTGATAAGTAAGATTTCGTAAGGCACACTGACTTCGTAGCTCACAACACTAGAATCAAACTTGGGCGTGATATTTATTTGAGGTTCAGTCATAATATTCATCAAATAGGGCATATCCAGTGGATCTGAGGAAACGCAAAGAAAATAAAAAAAAGCGTCAACGTGTTACATATTATTTAAAATAACAAGAATAAAACAGATCCCTAACGCCTAGGATAACACGTAGTCCAGTAAAGTACTGGAGTTAAACGCGATTTAAGGCGAGCAAATTTTTTGTAAAGAACGTGGTCAACATTAAAAAAGAGAGCAATAATAATAATAATAATAATAATAATAATAATAATTAGATAAAAAATTCGAAATCTATTGGTTTTCTAGTTTTACAGATATATCGATCGTCAGTATCAGATATATCTTTCTTATGTGATGCTAACGAGCGGCGTACCTGCAAAACTTGAAGTCCGATAGATGTGTTTTTAGTTTTTTTTAATCTGCTAATATTTTAATTATACAGCAGTTAATCTTGGATGACAAAAACTGAAATTAAAACAATCTAAAACCTGCTTTAATTATAGAAAAGTATTTTTAGAACGATTTTATGACATGTTGCAACTGAAACCAACATTAGACCCTCAAAGAAAATATGCAAATTGCTGCAATACACTTTAATTTTAAATTAAAGTATCTGAGGTCATTGGTGTAATTTGTAATATTTTTGATATCTACTTATCCGAGATAAGCAGTATATAAATTGCACTATTTTATGCGGACATACTTTGGGGATATGTATGCAAAATATATAAGGGTTATCTGGTTTAAACTCTTAGATAAAAACAAACAATTGATTAAGTGTGATTTTGTACGTTACGAAGCGACCGACACTGGGTTTTAGAAATTAAATAGAAAATCACGTTTTGCAAATGGAAAATACATTCATAAATTTGTCGGAGGTGCTGAGAAAACAAATGCATCATATCTGTTCGTTTAGGGTCAGGGTAATTGGACTATATTCTTATTTACAATTGAACTAATGTCTCCATCTTATTTTGTTATCATAACTTTTCAGTCGTTGTGCCCACCGGCCTTTTTTTTAGGTGTCTTTCGATCAAGTTATCTAGAGCATGTCAGAAAGAGTCAGGTGCTTTTGGGGTGGTACAAAGAAACTGATTTTTCCCAGCATGCTCTGCGATGGATCGTACATATGAATCTCAGTCAACGTTCAAAACAAGGAGCCTTACTGAGAGTGTGTCCGTTCATCATGAATGGATGAAATTCAGATTTAGTGGTGATGATGAAACGATTCTAGTTCGTTTTCTTAAAGGTATTGAAAATTACAAGCCAGTAACCAGCCTATTGAGCTGTTTGATCTAGAGGAGAGATCAGATTCCAGGCTCCTCCCATCATCATGAATTTTGTAGGCGCTCGCAAAAACTGTTGTAGAGCTGTTAGATATACACTACAGTTCAAAAGCTTGAGTCCGCCGTTGGTATTTTTTAAAAAATTGGTCCCAAATGTAACTGTTTTGCACTTTAAATAAGAGAAAATTATTATACATGTTTTAAAAATGTTAGACATGATTTTTTATTTGAAATATTATTATGACAAAAAGAAAAAAAAACTATGAGTAAATTTTGCTCTCGTCAAAATGTCCTCAAAGTAGCTCGTCGGAGCAGTTGCCATGAAAATACTTGTAGAAAAGACAGAGGGAAGCCACAGCACGTCTGTGAGAAAGTGACTGTAGATGGGATGCCAGATCAGGACCTATCACATTGCATATCCGCCTCTGGATTTTGTTGAGAAACTCGAGATGAACAGTAGGAGCACCAGACCGTATATGGCAGCAGTATTCAATATAAAGTCGAATGGCTGATTTGTAGATCTGAACTATGGACTCAGGCAAGAAAATCCTTAGTGGACAGATGCGAGCTACGAATTGGATAATCTAAAACCAAGCAATTGCAGAAATTTAACTATCTGGGAAGTTTTATTATAACAGACGATGGAAAATGTGACACAGATATCCGAAGGGGAAATTGGAATAGCGAAAGAGGCCTTCCAAACGCTAAACAAAGTATTAAGAAACAAGAAAAAGTTCGTTAGAGACAAAGAAAAGAATGAGAGGCTTGAGACAAAGCGGTGTGGTCCGACCGAAGGATGCTGAGAATACGATCGACATATTACATGAGCACACGAAGAAGTTTTTGAAATTTCTGTGACGCATAATGAGGAAAGAAGGTTTGGTGAATTTGACACTAAAAGGACATGATGAATCGATAACTGAACAAAAAACTGATGATGCCAAAATGTTTGAAAATTTGGCGATGTCACATCTGCAAAGTTTAAAGGCCATACAACGATGAGGATTATCGTTGAAAAATCAATTGAAATTTCTACGACGCATAGTGAAGAAAGAAGGCTTGGAGAATTTGACACTCACACGACATGATAAATCAATAACTGAGCAAAAAAAAAGAAAAAACCCAAAAAACCTGATAATCCTAAAATGTCCCAGTCTTAAGCAACAGGCAATTTGGCGATGTGTCGTCTGCAAATTTTAAAGGACATACGGCAATGAAGATAATCATTGTAAAGGATCGTCCTGGGTATGACGATAAACTACATCCGCGTCCTGGGTAAGACGATAAACTACGTCCAGCTCCTGGGTATGACGATAAACTACATCCGTGTCCTGGGTATGACGATAAACTACATCCGCGTCCTCTGTATGGCGATAAACTACATCCGTGTCCTGGGTATGACGATAAACTACGTCCGCGTTCTGGGTAAGACGATAAACTACATCCGTGTCCTGGGTATGGCGATAAACTACATCCGCGTCCTGGGTATGGCGATATAACTACATCCGTGTCCTGGGTATGGCGATAAACTACATCCGCGTCCTGGGTAAGACGATAAACCACGTCCGTGTCCTGGGTATGGCGATAAACTACATCCGCGTCCTGGGTATGACGATAAACTACATCCGCGTCCTGGGTATGGCGATAAACTACATCCGTGTCCTGGGTATGGCGATAAACTACATCCGTGTCCTGGGTATGACGATAAACTACGTCCGCGTTCTGGGTAAGACGATAAACTACATCCGTGTCCTGGGTATGGCGATAAACTACATCTGTGTCCTGGGTATGACGATAAACTACATCCGCGTCCTTGGTATGACGATATAACTACATCCGTGTCCTGGGTATGGCGATAAACTACATCCGTGTCCTGGGTATGACGATAAACTACGTCCAACAGCAAGGCCTCTGATAATAGGTTTTTGAAAAAATATTATTGCCAGCTGTATGTTTTGAAAAATAATATTACCAGCTATGACGTTTTTGAAAAAAATGATATTACCAGATATAGGTTTTTGAAAAAATAATATTACCAGCTATACGTTTTGAAAAAATAATATTACCAGCTATTCGTTTTTGAAAAAAATGATATTACCAGCTATACGTTTTTGAAAAAATGATATTACCAGCTATATATTTTTGAGAAAAAAAATATTAACAGAAATAGATTATTGACAAAACAAAAATATTACCAGGGAAAAAAAAGTTGTCGGCGTTAAATGACCCATTGAGGTTGATATGCCGTAAAACAAAACAAACCAAACCAGTGTAAAGGAGATTAAAAATACTAAAATTCAAACGTAACATTACAATTACAAGTGATGGTCTTCTAAATTTAAACAGGTTATTTAGCAGCCGTAGATGGAGACTTGAGACAACAGAGATGTGCTCTGCAGAAGGATGTTGAGAATAAGATGGACGGAGTATGTGAGCACTGAGAAAATTTTAAGAATAATGGACAAAAAAGACACTGGTACTTAGTATCCGAAAGAGACAGTTGGAATTTCTGGGACACCTAATAAGGAAAGCGGGTTTGGAGAGTTTGACACTCAGAGGACATATTGAAGGTAAGCGGGATCGAGATTAACAGCTAGTAGCCTACTTAACAAGTTTGTATAAATAGATGGCAGAGCAGGCATTAGGAGGGGTAAGAAGCAGATAAATATTATTACAAAGGATAGGAAGTTATGGGGAGCTATGATCGCCCAGGTATTGAAGGGATACGACACATAAGAGAAGAAAATAAATCGAATTACGTATACTTTAAGTAGACTTATAATAATTTCCAAACCTCAAACCGGGACTGTATTTAATTTTTAAAAAATGAGACGGTACCGACAAACATGAACGTAAGGTGAACCTGATATATTTATGAGTCTACCATTCGTCCTTGTCTTGAATATTGTCGCCATATCTAATGTGGAGATCCTGCTAGATATTTGAAGATTCTTGATAAAGTCCGAAGAATCTGCAATATTATTGTTCCTGACCTGGCATCTCGGCTTCAGTCCCTTTCCCACCGCCGTAACATAGCTTCCGTGTGTCTTTTCTATAAATACCTTCATGGTAATTGTTCTGATGGATTTAAGCGCAGTACTAGATTAGCGGCAAGGTCTCATCATTTTACAGTTGAAATTACTGGATGTAACCGTAAGTTCTATGCTAACAGTTTCTTCTCTCGCACTTCTCGCTTGTAAAACTCACTTCCGGTTTCTTGCTTCTCAGTCAACTTTGATCTTCAAAGATTTAAATGCAATGTCAATCGTTATCTTCTGTCAGTCTTTTATTGTCCGCCCTCCTTAATAGCAGTTTTTCTCATATTCTCTAACACTCAGTAACCCCTTGCGTCCGAGTAGCTTTATTGTCTTCCTTAGGGTGAAATGATAAAATATATGAGAGAGAGAGAGAGAGAGACAGACAGAGACAGAGACAGAGACAGAGAGAAAACGAGAGAGATAGAGAGAGCGATAGAGAGTGAGAGCGAGAGATAGAGATAGAGAGCGATATATATAGAGATATATATATATAGAGAGCATATGGCAAAATAGAAACGATGTTAGTGATGTGTTTTGTTCTATGGTAGAATTTCTTCAGACTAATAATATTTTTATATTTTTTTAAAAATTATATTGAAAGAATCCATTTTTTATATAAAAGCGAGGAAGATGTGAAAAATTAATATTTTCATGGTAATTGTTCTGAGGAACTTTCCTCTAGGGTACCTAGACTTTATGAATTTAAGCGCAGTACTAGATTGGCAACTAGGTCTCATCATTTTACAACTGAAATGGCTTGATATAACCGTAAGTTCTATGCTAACAGTTTCTTCTATCGCACTTCTCGCAGTAACCTCTTGCGTCCAAATGGCTTTATTGCCTTCCTTCGGATGAAACGAATTAAATAAAAAAATAAGCCTAATGATATGCCGAAAAAAAAACGTTGATTTTTTTGTAAGAATATTATGATTTTCATACCTACCCCTCCTCCCCATATATATATATATAACTCTGTAACCCCTTGCGTGCTAGTGGCTTCCCGCCTTGCTTGGGTTGAATGCTTATATATATATATATATATATATATATATATATATATATATATATATATATATATATATATATATATCAAATTGTTATTTATGTAGATTTATATGGACGAAAATACTGTCAATAGCTTGCAGCGGATACTCCTTGAACACCATGCAGAATAGCCTTTCTAAAATTAGATTCCCCCCTCCACATCAATAGAGTGATATCTTTTTGACAACTTAATCAAGACTTTCGTATTTATTCTGAAAAGCCTTTTCCAGTTCGTTTGCGTACTGGTGACATCAGGTAAAGCAATCGTTCTTTTCTATTTATACTTTCTCATCATGTTTTTTTTCCTCCTATTTCTCTCTATATCCCTTCTATCATCTGTCAGTTGACTTCAGCTCGGAATCAAATCAGTGGAACAGCTTCTCGGAAGCTCGGATTCACAAGCAAACGGATAAGACATTTGCATGGTAACCATTAGTAAATAATCAGACTTCCATTTAAATGTCAGTTGGCGCAGAGGATCTGTATGTTAGACAACACCTCTTTATAAAACCTAAAGAGGTGGGTTAGTGTATACGGAGGCATCTTCGTCTCAATCAAGAGGTTTCAGGTTCATAAAGCTCACATTATGCAACCTAATGTCATTTTCTGTTTTATATGGAATTAATGATTTCAACACATTATATGACAGACCATATTCTGTTTTCATCAGTTGATTTGATCGATTGATAAGTCCAACCTTTTCCGTTTCCCGTCACGCGCCTGTCCCGCCCTTTGCTCAGCGTCTTTCCCGGTACGTTCACTTTGAAAAAATTAGAGTGCTCAGAGCGGGTTGTTCAAGCTTGATAAGCATAGAAGAGGGCTTCGTCTACGTCTGTCGGTCTCCGTCTACGGCGATGCAATGATCGAAGGGAGCGATGCGATGATCGAAGGGAGCGGTCGGAGCCGCTCGTATTGCGACATTAGTGGTGAAATTCTTGGATCGTCGCAAGACGAACTGTGGCGATGGCGTGTGGCAAGCACATTTTCCTCGATCAAGAACGAAAGTCGGAGGTTCGAAGACGATTAGATACAACTTATAATCACTTATAAATCTTTTTCAGGCTACTTAAATATTTTTTGTCTTGAGATAATAATGATTTACAGATTCAAGTCCTACTATTTAACCCATAGCTTGGGGAAGAAGAGGTGAATTCATGCTTTTCCCAAGGGCATTTGCACATAATTGAATATAACGAAACCGACTGGAATTCGAACAATATTCACCTATTTCCAATTCCTAGACATTAACCATTACACCACTCTCACATCAAAACTTACATCACCTAGTATTTCTAAGTGTTTTTCTTTTAGGTACTGACCAAATTCAACGTTACTTAATTTCTGTGATCGTGCAAGAACCGATTTTTTAAAAGGATGTGGCTGTAAGCCTTTTACTTTCTCCTTTCACGCACTTACAACAATCTCATTCAGTAACTCTCTACCTCGAGTGGCTCTTAGGCCTTGTATTGGGTAAGCAATACTATAAAAGAGTACAGGAATTTAATTATCTTTAATATAACTTTTTATTTAATTATGGGTAGTGCAATAATAGACAAGGGAAAATGTCATACGGAAATCAAGAGTATCTGTCTATATTTCTGAGATGAGGTATTATGTACACTATTTACATTATTCGGACTGTTGTCCTCATCTTAGTCGCCATATTTATTACAACGTTTCGGCCTTTCAGTATCTGTCTATATTTTTGAGACGAGGTATTATGTATATTATTTGGGCTATTGTCCTCATCTTTGTCGCCATATTTACTACAAAGTTTCGGCCGTTGTACGCTTTGGCCTTCTTCAGTATCTGTCTATATTTCTGAGATGAGGTATTATGTACCCTATTTACATTATTTGGACTATTGTCCTCATCTCTGTCGCCATATTTATTACAACGCATCGGCCTTCTTCAGTATCTGTCTATATTTCTGAGATGAATTATTATGTACATTATTTACATTATTCGGACTATTGTCCTCATCTTTGTCGCCATATTTATCACAACTATATGACGGTAAATGCTGAACAATTTCCTTACGGATAAAGACGTGGCTAGGAGTGAGAGAAATTTTGTACTACAGAAGGATGCTGAGAATACCATGGACGGAACATGTGAGCAACTTGGAAGTTTCAAAGGAAGTAAGAACTAGAAAGGAACTTAAAATCAGAAAGAGGCAGTTGAAAATTCTGGGACAAATTATGAGGAAGAACGGCTCGGAAAATTTAATACTTATAGGGCGTATTGAGGGAACGGTTAGAGAGAAACAGCGATCAACATTATGAGTTCATGTGAACAGATAGCTGAGCAGGGACAAGGAGGTAAAGTGTCAAAGATTGTTTAGAGCTACAAGGGTAAAGATCTTGCGGAGAACCACGATCGTCTATGTTAGAGGTGGGGAAAACTACGGCCCGCGGGCCACATCTGGACCGATGGTCTTTTTTAATCCGGCCCTCCGAAGATTGACAGAATTATGACAGCATTCATTTGACCTTGTCCTATAATGCCTGGTATCCCACTAGGTGGCACATTCACCTTATTTCCAAGCGCCACTTTTGTGCGTGAACTCCAACAAAGCACCCCACAGATCCCAGTTGAGTGATGAACACCTGAGATCTGTTCTGAGACTTACCACAACAAAACTAACATCAGACTTCGATGCACTGGCAAAAAAGGGTGATCAGCAACACTGTTCCCGCTAAAAGTGAAAGTAAGTATTAACACTGTAATGCTTTTTCTTTTTATGTTTGATATTTATGCATCGGGTGCTGGCCCGGCCCGTCTGTTAATTTTTAAGTCATTGTAGCACCTAAACCATAAGGTTTGCCTACCTCGGGCTTACGTCCTGAAGGGAAACGGCGTATAGAAGACGATAATTTTAAAGCTTTATGTAACATTTATATCTTTTTTACTCTATCTAAATATATTTTGCGAACTAGTTTTCGTCGGATACAATTTTGGAGGTGAAAGTCTTTCTGATTCGACCAACCGCAGATAAGTGAAACATTTGTTGGTATGTGCGCAGATGGTTAGGTTCTGTTGTGATTTTCTTCATTCCAGTTTTTCTTCTTCTATATGCCGTGTCAAGAGCGTTGGCTATCATGGCACTCCACAATTTCCTGTCCTTTTTAATAAATAAATTTTGTCTTTTTGTTATCATTCCTAAACCCTAACCCTGCCAGCCATAGACTCAATCTCGCCAGATAGGTTATGCGTTGTTTTCCTCTGTCCCTCTTGCTTTCAATCTGCCCTGTGAGTATCAAATTTTACAGGCCTTCTTTCCACATTATGTGCGCTAGAAATTTCAACTGTCTCTTTCTGGGTATAAGGGTCCTTTTTGTTTCCATTTTCTCTAAAACGTTGTCGTTGCTCACTTGTTCGGTTTATGGCCTGCTCAGCATCCTCCTGTTGAACGCAATTATTTGGGTTCATCTGTAACCAGATTACATACAAAAGAGATTTTAACACTTACCATCACTGCATGTAGATCTAAGGTATTTCTCTGAAAATAGAGAAAAATATATTTAAGAAAATCCACATGTTTTTCATTCAAGACTTCATTAAAACTCGTTTAATGTTCTAATTACAAACTTGTATAAATGAGAATTATCTAGAATAATGACTCGAAAATTGTACAATTTCCAGCTGGCGATGTGTCAATCCCTCTGTCTGTACCATTGTTGATTAAAAACGATAGATACAAACTTGATATCTGAAAACAATGTCTTAGATGACGTGGTGATCTGAAAAAGTATTGGAAAATGTTATATGACACAGAGAATAAAATCATAACATCGGCTTGTGGGTTGGAAAAGCGTAACAGAGTAAATAAGTAATATTTTAATTTAAAATGGCTAATATTATTCCTAAAATAAGTAATATTTTAAATATTATATTTAAATTCATAGAAAACCAATGAGTATTCTATTTGTGTGGTCACGTCACGATCCCAGTCAAATAACGAGGTCCATTGAACTTTAGACAATAGTGATATGCTTTTTTACAGAATCAAGCTGAGAATACCATGGCCGAAACATGTGAGCAACGAAGAAATTTCAAGGAAAATAGGAACGACAGAAAGACATAATTGTCATATAAGGAAATAAGGTTTGGAGAATGTGACACTCACAGGACATACTAAAGGCAAATGGATAGTGAGAAACAGTGAGTAGCCTACCTAACAAACTTGTGTTGTGTAAATATGGTTGAACAGAGAAGGATAGTCAGAAGACAAATATTGCTAAGAGGTACGATAGGTAGGAAGTTGTGAAGAGCCATGATTGCCAACATCCTGAAGGGAGACGGCCACCTAAATGTTTTAAGGAAAGTGGGAATGAAAAGCACGTTTGTGCTTAGGATCAGAAAGTAGAAAATTGTTGGACACTTTATGAGGAAATGGGCTTAGAGAATTTGACACTTACAGGACATACTGAAGGCAAGATGGACAGAGGGTAACAGCGCGAAACATGGTATGCTTGTGTAAATGGACAGCAGAGCATAGATTGGGAGGTGTAGTAATAGGACAAAAATACAAATTTAGAGCTACATAAGATTAGAAGTTGTGGAGAGCAGTGATCGCCCACATCCTGAAGGGAGACAGCACACTGAGCAGGAAGACTCATAAAGCATCAATTTCTAACATAGGTTATGTGAGATTGACGTGGGAATTCACAAGCGATTATCAGAGAGTATAGCCAATGTAGCAATGACCTAAAAATAGTAGGGCGGGTATAGTCTAATTCGACCTTTGAGGTCACCAGATGTAACTGAAGCTAGAATAAGTTTGTAGTATTTATGATTAGTATTGGAGGTAAATTGGCGCATTGGAGTAACTTTGGCAGAAGATGATGATGATAAGATAGGTGGTGCTGACCTTTAATGGCAAAGGTCATTAGGGTTTAATTAATGTTTAAAACAGTCTTTTAAAGCTAAATAAAAGAAATTAAATAGCAAATAAAATAGTAAAAATACTATAAAATAAATTAAAAATACTATAAAATACTAATAAAAAAGGTAAATAGTAAGAAATGAGCTTTTAAAACTTTGGGTAACAATGAAAAACGTTTGCAAACAAAAATTTTTAAATCTTCAGAAACAAACTTCAATATCTGTCTATATTTCTGAGATGAGGTATTATGTACACTATTTACATTAATCGGACTATTGTCTTCATCTTTGTCGCCATATTTATTACAATGTTTCGGCCGTTCAGTATCTGTCTATATTTGTAAGATGAAGTATTATGTACACTATTTACATTAATCGGACTATTGTCTTCATCTTTGTCGCCATATTTATTACAACGTTTCGGCCGTTGTACGCTCCGGCCTTCTTCAGGTGATTGGAATGCTGAACTAAACCCTTTATTTCGCTCACTGGGGTAGACTGTACTAGTTCCACGTGCCATGTTTAATGGATGTCAGTTATCAGTTATATTCTGTTAATTTCTCTCTGAAAGTTCTCCACTGCCTTAAACGGGTATTGAACTCACATTCTTTGGGTCCTGTCACTGGATCTAACCAACGACTTTATCGACTGTGCCATGTGTCCTAAAAACATGGCACGTGGAACTATAAAAAGTCACCCCAGTGAGCGAAATAAAGGGTTCAGTTCGACATTCCAACTACCTGAAGAAGGCCGGAGCGTACAACGGCCGAAACGTTGTAATAAATATGGCGACAAAGATGAGGGCAATAGTCCGAATAATGTAAATAATGAACAAACTTCAAGCTATTGCAGTTTTTATTAATATTATTGCTCACCCAATACAAGTAACTCAAAGTAAATGTGTAAAAGGAGGAAGTAAGAAATGTATATTATAAAGATATATAGGATAGATAAGAGTTGACCCTAGAAGTTAATATTTATATTGATCGTAAAAGCATCATTTTTAGGAGTTTGGTAGACAAAGTAACAGTTCTTCATCCTTACCAATGGAATACGAAAGGGATGACGATGAGTTGACCCTGTGTAGGTGACATGGCGGGTCCTATCTGCGAAGGTTTAGACTGGTGGAATTAAGGAATATAGCTTGTCTGAACATCTGCCATGGAAATAGCGACAGAATAGCGAGTGGTTAGCAACGTTTTGTCTGTGGTGAAGGGTTTTAAGATGGAAAATAATTCATCACTTACAAGGTCACGTAAACGCTTTTGAATTCTGTCGAGGCAGAAAAATTGAAGCTATTTAAAATAAAGAAACTGAACCCAAACTATCGAAATGATTCATAGGACTTAGGAATTCTTGCTCTAAAGATTGACGCCACTGAAGAAATAAACTCAAAGCTGTTGCAACAAATTCTTGGAGACATTCATTTTTTACTATTAACAGAATTCCTGAAAGTCCTGTTCAACGCTCAACTGAGTTTCTCAATACGCTTGAGTTGCCTGGTGGTTCTCCTCGCAGGCTTTAACGAAAAACGGTGATCTCCGACATGCTTCTTAGAAATCTGAACTCTTTATCGCTGTCCAATAGAACTTCTTCATGGCATCAAAGCAACTAGCCTAGTGTAAACAGAAAGAGAGGTGCATTAATTCCCCAACTATCTATTAATTAAAATAGACTAGTCTTTGAATTAAACTGACTTCAATTCTCATCTAGCTTAATCATAACTATCAACATGGCACAAGGATAAACTTTCAAAATCTCTAGCGTCAAAGTGAGTTCTCTACGGTTTTCTCATTACCAACTGTGTATTGGTTGTTCCTGGGTTCGATCCCTAAACCATTTCATACTGGCATACAGCAATGGAAGAAACACTAGCGTTTTGTATTCAGTAACCTTTTCAACCTAAGGGACATTACTTTTTTGTCATTGGGAATCAGAATAATTTTTCGCTATTTTTCATGTGTAAATGATCGTTTTTTCTCATTTGTTGTGTAAAAAACAAAATAAAATAATTTATATATATCTTTTCTCGTTTTATATCCTTCACACGCTGCATATCAACATCTCTACCGAAATGTGAATAATTTGAACAATTTTATGGCTTCAAGTAAATAAATATTGAACGCAGTTGTATGCCTTCAGCTACAGGTAAAATGTATTGCTGTTCATTTTGCTTGAAAAATGTATTGTTGCTAATTTTACTATAAATAGTTATTGCTGTGAATTTTTTTTTACATGAAATATACAGTTAGTATTTTTACTGTAAAATGTATTTTTAAACTTTCATAGTGTTCTGTTTGGGGGTTCACTATTTGCTCATAGCTGAGACCCTAACAGGTGCTACCACCCCGGGTTAGGATGGACCTGGGAACAACATCAATTAAAAGGTGGTTCAACGCTACTCAAAACTTTCAATATCTCGATCAGAAGCCTTACTGCCGAATGTAGTTTATCGTCATACCCAGGACTCACTCTCTCTCTCTCTCTCTCTCCCTCTTTCTCTCTCTCTCTCTCTCTCTCTCTATATATATATATATATATATATATATATATATATATATTAATAGTAGTAATTATCTTATGAGTATAAGATAATTATACTGTTCGAAAACCTTCGGTGTCTTGATTTGCAAATAATCAAACCAATACCAAAGGGGGAAAAAGTTTAAAAAAGAAAGAGCCAAGAACATGTACGTCAGCCGAAAATAATCGTCTAGCAAGCAAGTTCAACGCCCAAAGAAAAAAAAATCGATACGAGTAAGCAAAATAACTAAATAAAGTGCTCAATACAATAAGTAGAGCAAACCTAGTTAAACCTAGAGAGCCAGACAAACCTACAAGGTTTCATTTAAGTGGATCGTCAGGGAGGTTGACTTCCTGACGATCCGCTTAGGTGAAACCTTGGTAGGTTTGTCTGGCTCTTTTAGGTTTAACTATATATATATATATATATATATATATATATATATATATATATATATATATATATATATATCCGATGCGATGAGATCGAAAGCAATATATAAATTCCAACGTTCACAGCATTAATCCAAAAGAGGGGATTGTTCATAACCATTTTCGATTCTCACCCGTCGAAGTGCAGTTGAAATGCACTGAAACCAAGTTGCATCTTTGTAGTGAGTAAGATGGTTTTGTCTATATGATAAAATTATAATATATATATATATATATAATGTAGAATATAAACTATTAATCGTTAAAGGAAATCTAATTTAATCAAACGAAGACTAACGTTGATATTCTGAATGCAGTGTTCAATAACTCATAGGGAAAAGATAAAGGCGCGAATATTTACACTATGTATGTAGACACATACACACACACATATATATATATATGTGTGTGTGTGCGTGTGTGCGTGCGTGCGCGCGCGCACGTTCTGTTTCTGAACATGCGACCCGAATCCGATTCTCATCATGGTCGATTTGCCAGGAAGGTTACTTCTTCATATTATTGGCCTGGGAAAGCAACCCCAACGTGCAGCACATTTGGAAAGTGCATGAAAACCATGACACGGATTGACCCCAGCTTTGTGTGTGACCAATTAGAGAGCCGTCAATGGTTGTGCTAGCACAAAGTCACAAGTCATTGTGACCGCTTAGTATAGTTGCAGTATAAACCATAGGTGGTTTCTCGGGGTGTTGACGACGCATAGATACGCCTGAGCAAGCGTCTGCAAAAGGGATTGGTTGGCCTCCCTATGCAAACAGGCATATACGGATACGAGCGGCCGGCATATATCTCTAGCGGAGTATGCGTGTATAATCGAAGAATTAATAATCTTCAAACACGGATCTATAAATTTTAATAATTTTTATTTATCTGAGTATTATTTTTCTTTCAAAGTGAAAGAAATGAATTACAAAGATTCTTTGCGAACAACTTCACACAAAATATTTTAAGTATCTTTTTTTACAGTACAACTGAATGAATTGCGTTATTATAGGATACACGGAAAATGCGTCTATATGTGTGCAGATGTATGTGAGACTTATTTACGTTGTTTAATCTATGTGTATGAATTTGTATAGTTGTCGAACTCATGAAAGAGGGCAAGGGAAATCAGGTTGCTAGTGTCGCCGCATGTAAACAAGTTAGCGGAAAGTTCTTCTCTATCGCTAAACATATTTTTGTAATAATGTATACTCGAATGAATATGTGAAAGATGTGAGTAATTAACTGTTTGTGAGAATTTCAGTTTCGTTTCTATAACAAACGATCGAACAAACACCCTGGTCAATGGTTCACTGAAATTCTAATTAGCTAAAACGAGTCCCAGGAAGAGGAGATTGTACTCCACGGCGGAGTACCAGAAATAAAAGACTCACACTCAGTTGACATAGCTTCAATTGTGATCATGATATCAATGGAGAAGTTTACAGAAGAAAATGGTGACAAGCTTCGAAGGCCAAAACGCATTCGCGCTGCATGTTAATTTTGCAGAAGCAAGAAAAATGCTTCACAACTGAATGAGGTCAGAGAGATCATATAAATCAGCTGCTGTTAATCAATCGTGGTTTAAGTGTCACTGAATGGAATAGATTGCATAGAAAAATATGCTAATCCATTTCTATGCTCCACGAATAGAAAGCATGGGAAAGGTTCACCAAAATTCTATAAGAGGAACTGGCTTTTCCTCCTAGAGAGACTTTTTGCGAGGTGTACATAGAGATTTGATCTTTGTGAACTTTTATTATACAGGCTAGCAACTTTTCGCAAATCAAAAAAACAAAACAAAACAATTTGCTCCAGAAGTCACAACCTTAACACCTAACATGGTGCTAGCTGTGGCCCGATATACTGTAGAATAGTCTACAACAGTAGTTCTTAAACAGTCTGATGTGGCGTACCGATAGTTTTTTTAATGTACGCGGCACCGGCAAGTGAAATTTACCAATATACCTGAAGGCGCTGGGGGGGGTATTTTTTTGAGATATGCCGTATTTCAGGTTCATTTTGAGACTATCTGCACTAAAAATAAGGTCATGATGTCTTATTAATTTTAAAAGCCAGTTATCATTGGCGCAACAAAGTCTTCCCAGTGTGCCAGGGACCGGTACCTATTTGTGCCATATTATTATATAATATCAACCCGAGAAAATATTATTTGAACTTTCGTAGTATTATTTATTTATTTATTTGTATCCTGGAAATTCTCCGATGCCGGTACGCGTACCACATTTTGAGTAACACTGGCTTAAAGGATTGATAACATATTAGAAATAACAGTGAAGATTTCCCGGTTTTCTTATTTTAATATTCTGACGAATCTTACTTCTTAAGTTAATAACTGAATAAGCTCATCGCGAGTTCTACGACAATAAAATATCCGTAGAAATTCTCCAGTCGCATCTTTAAATATTTGAGCTTAACAACTTTAACAAAATATTGCAATAACAATCATAAATATGAATGCTGGTCATTATTTTAAGAAGTGGGTACAAATGAAAAGATTTGAAATTGACAACTTTTTTCAAACACTTCTTTTTTTTAAACACTTCTTTCTTTCACTGAAACCAAGTAGCGTCTCTTATATGTCTTTTCTGTCTTTCCAACCGATCAAAATGGAATAGTCCGTTAATGGTGGGACGTGACGTACGTTTTAACGGAGGGACAAGCAAAATTATAAGATAATTTAATTACAATAAATTAAATACAACTTTTATTAAGGTATTTAATATTAAGCTATAATAAATAAATTAAAATTTTACGTATTTTATTAAAATATTATCTATTTATAATGAAAAAGTCGAAGTTATACTTTAATTCTTACTTCGCTAAGAAGAGTATACGAATATTGCAGAGATATGCTGCATTATAACACTTTAAACGCACTGGTTCTTCAACGTAATATATCTGATCACAATTTCGACTTAATAAATGCCATTCTGATCAAGAGAGAAAAAGCTTCATTAAGAAGAAAACATATTGAGAGTGATTTCACAGTTCTTGAGAAGAAACCTAAGACTCGGCTCATACATAATATCACCGATAAACACAAAAGCATTAGTAGTACAATGCGATATACGAGCTAATAGAGAAAACAAAATCTACACGACATGGGCAGATATCCAATCCAGCAGCTCTAATAAGAATATCGTCAGATCTGATAAGGTAATTTAATTTATTGCCCCTCTTATCCTCTAAAATCCCAACGCATTTTCTAACACAGTTTTTTTCATTCCGACCTGAAGACACCAAGCCTAACATACGTTGGCGAAACGCGTTGTCATTAAAAAAACTTTTCTCACTTTATTCCATTATCTCCAATTTTGTTTCTAATACTATCCAACTAACACGCATAACTTTTCTTCTGTTTCTTGATACGCTTTCTTACCAACAATCTTTCCATAGTCATTGGCTTCGCTGAAACATAAACCTTAAAGTGGGTGATGATCACATACATCACATGTAGACATGTAAGTCCCGATAGCGCAGACGAAAGACAGAACAGAAAATATAGAGAAATGGATGCATTTTTAAAAGCACGCTAAGAGTTTTACCGATACTGGAAAATCTATACATGGGAAATGGGCGAGTCCCATTATTATTTGATCTATCGAGATTGGCAATCTTTTTGGACTATCGTATAAATACCTACTTTCATTGTCGTCTGCTTGTTGGTATTGTCTCTCCACAATCTTAGCATTCGTAACGCTGGTGGTTGTCTGAGATAAGAGATCTGTTTTCCTGAAAAACAAAAATCAGAAATAAAAGACATATTTTTTTTAAAAGGCTCTACAAAATCTTATATCATGTAACAATTTCGATAGAAGATATTCTTACGATCTATCTATCTATCTATCTATCTATCTATCTATCTATCTATCTATCTAAGTCTATTCATTATCTATCTATCTATCTATCTATCTATCTATCTATCTATCTATCTATCTATCTATCTATCTATGTCCAATAGTTATATTTTGAACTTAACGGGAATGTCTTAGCTGAATGTTTGAAATTTAATATCCATCAGAAGCAAAAACAATCAATAAAATTCGGAATATAAATTTAATGACATTTCATTCACTGTTATTTTCGTTTCACACACACACACACACAGACACACACACACACACAGACATATTTTTATATATATATATATATATATATATATATATATATATGGAAAGAAAGAAAGATAGATAGACGATTGCTAGTTTCAAGCCATACCTTTAAGTTCCCTTACTTTCTTTTTTCCCTTCCTTCTTTTCCTTTCGCTCTCTTTGTCTCTTCTCTCTATTCCCTTTTGATAACACACTCTCTACTTCTACTGGTATAAATAGGTGAACATGGCTGGTCCGTACGACTTCGCCCATATCTCCTTGAACAGACATATTTCTTTCTCCTTCTTCGCTTTCCCTTCCCAGCCTTGAATGCATATCCCTCTTCTTCTCCTCCATATTTTCACTCCCTCCATTTTGAATACATACCCCCACTTTTTTCCCTTCAATTTTGAATTATCATAAATTATGTAGATAAATGGTTTTATGCTTGGTTAAATTTGTATCCATTTATTTTTGTGAAAATGTTTGGTCTGATGAGTTAAAACCGTAGTATCGGTTTTAATGAAATAAAATATTACCATGATCTTTTAAAGTCTCCATTTTCATAATTATATATATATATATATATATATATATATATATATATAGGGTGTCCATAAAGTTCGTGTGCACTTTAAAAAATTATAACTTTATTTGTATTTGCGATAGAAATAATTTGTAAAAAGGATTAGAAAGAAGAAAATCTATATTTTTAAAGTTTTATTGAAATTTTATTTAAGTTTCCACATGTCCTCCATCATTAGCAATACAAAGAGTAATACGATTTTGCAGTTCACGGAAAACATTTGCCAACTCATTTACAGTAATGCCTGAAATCGCATTAGTTATTTTAGCTATACTTAAAACTAGATACATTAGACTTTCTCACATTTTTTACAGATTATTTCTATCGCAAATAAAAATAAAGTTATAAACTTTATGGACTCCCTGTATATAGCCGATTTAATTTAATTTGTTTTCCTTTTTGATTATGTTTTTATCACTTTCGTTATTAAATATCCCATATTGTCATAATAGATCTGTCCAGAAAGGCTAGATGTCTTATGAACTCGGACGTAATTTTATAGTGGGTGATCTAGCGTTTAAAGCACTTTCTATACGCATTCGTCTTAGTAATTTGATTTCTCTTTTAATTAAAGTAGCATTTTTAAATCAAAATTGTGGTCAAACTCATTACGGTGAACAACTAATGAGTGTGCTGTTTTGTAAAAGATAGTTTTTGTGTTCCTCTAATATTTTATTTAAATTCCTTATTTAATAACAAAATGAGAAAAACATAAGTGAAAGAGAAAAGAAACTAAATGAAATCGGGTAGACTATATACCTAAACACATATTAAGATATTTAAAATTTAAATAAAAAAATGTAAAAATTCACTATTCCCCCTCACCTACATGCGCTTGTGTAATCACATCAACGAAAACATCACTTTAGTTTTTCCACTTTCTCATAGATTTCCCTAAAAGTTTTACATATAAAAATTCATATATCATTTTCCGATATATATATATATATATATATATATATATATAACGAAGTAAATAAACATTAAAATAGTTGTTTAAAATTGTATGTGTTAAAAAGTGCTCAATATCAAGTTAGAAAAATCAAACCAGCAGAGCTATTTAATATCCTAAAATAATAAAACACTAAGTGGGACACTACTTCGGTTTCAACCGCCAAGGTCTCATCAGGTGGTTAACTCAACGAAATGATCACAGGCAACACAGCAAGAACTTAAATTTCTTAATGCGGCACCGGAAGTAACGAAGGGGTGGAGGAGTGGAAAAAATATTTTTCCAGCTTCAATCGGGGTGTCATATTATAATCCTAAAGTCAGCTGTCTCATGTGCCGACATTTTGCCATAATTTCGGACCTTTGATTCAACAACCCAGCACCACCCTTGAATGTTGCAAAGACCAACTATATCTCCTGACACAGCCTGCAGGAGTTGCTATTCACTTTATTAGCTTTTACTTTTCTTAAAATATCCAATTTAATGGCCGGACTTCTTTCGTTTTTTTTCTCTCTAAAACTCCAATAATATTTTGCTAGCCTTGTATTGAAACCGCGTTTGGGTATTCTAAATAACGAGGTATGATCATACCACCTCTTTTTAAATTGGTCCTCACTGCAACCAATGCATGTTTTTGTACTGCCATTGTCATTTTCTACCTCGGCACAATACACTAACTCTTCTGTGCAACATACTCCATTTAAGGGACAATTATTTTTTCTTCTGCAATTACAAAGGACCTTAATTCCACTCCTCACACGTTCTTCAAGATTCGAATTTCTTTTGTCCAACATTTCATATATATGATTTAAATATGGGTGAGAATCGGGCGAAATGATAAATATATGACAATTTCGGAAAAAAAAATTTGGTTGACATGTTTCACCGGTGAAACAATGTCATCAGTTCAACGGATTTTATAAGAACTAGATAAAATATCCCTAAACATGGGCAGTTGAACGAGAACAGTCTACACACCCCGTAGATTAAATAAAGTGTCTGTTTCGGAATTCCCTGCAGGTTACCTGGGTCGACACACACCTGATGAAGAATTGGAGGGGGGGGGAGGCACAACGGTCGAAATGTTGTGATAACAACAACAAAGATGAGGAAAATAGTACATATGTAAATAAAAATATTTATCGTAGTGTTGTAGAGTAGCTAGCACCCCTTCAGCACTCTAAAACAGACAGCCTTGCTCATAGCCTTAATTATTCTACAATTAAGGACTTCAACAGTTGATTAACAAGTTGATACTAAGCTGATTAATATTAGCACTGATCTTACTTCATTTAGTTATACAGCATTTGACCCTCCTCTATTCCTTGTAAGTTGTCTTGTTAATTGTTTTGTAACTTATTGTTCTGTGTTTGTTTGTATGTATCCGTTAGTAGCAGATACTGGTGCTGAATAAATATATTAAGCACTCATTCTTCTCTGTGCATCATTCGCCTCGACTATACAACACATAGGATAATAGATCTAAAATATTTTTTATGAAAAGATAAAAAAAGAAACAAAAAACATTTATTACCCTTACTCACTTTAAAAGTATGCATATATCTTAAAACTTTAAACCCCCGACGTTTTATTTTGTGGTTCTGTGCCTGACAATTTTACCTAAAACGAAGTAATGAATATAACATCCACCATTCTTTTAGAAGTTCTTTTGTTTATGTAAGAAACTGAGCAGATAATTAAAGATAAAAACCTATAAATACTTTAGAAATGTACAGAAAATTTCCATATTCTGTAAATAGAAAACTTTCTTACTTTGGAATATTTGAGTCCTCATAAGAATCAGAAAGTTCTTGGTCATCACCATTCATGTAAGCTTTGTTTGAATTGGTCGCATAAAACTTTTCGAGTCCCAGCAGTAACGAGTGCATTACTGCAGTGTGCAATGGCGGACCTTTGCTTCGATGGTTATTCTTGATATTGCTAATAGTGTTGTACTCTTTGCCGAGTTTCTCTTGACGGTTATATAAGAGAAAACGTTGTAACTGCCGAACAAGACCATTCAACATGCCGCTCTCTTCCGAAGGATATAACTGCAAGTATAAAACAGGAAATGACGATAAAATCAATTCGGTTAGATTAACTCGAATGATACAGTGTAACTGAAAAATTAGGCCCAACATTTGATTAATGAATCAATAAGATTGGGCTATCCCTTAGAATAGAAGTCACATTTTATATTAAATTTACTAGACTCACTTTTTATAAACGACTTAAAGAACAAAACTAGATACTTCATTACTTTGAAAAAACAAAAACATGACGCAAAATAAAAAAGAAATGAACCAGAACCAATTATATTAAGAAGCAATTTGAATAAAAAAATGCATCCGCATCAGTTTTATTACGAAACAATATCAATGAGAAATGTTTCAGAAGCAACTATAGGAATAAAAAAATGAGTAAAAAATGAATCTGAACTAGTTTTTATCAGTAAGAAATGTACCAGAAGAATTTATATCAATTTGACTAATAAATTTATTCGAATCAGTTTTATCTGAAACCATGTACCAGAAGCATTTATATCAAGAATAAATTTGAAAAAAAAAAAAATCCCGAACCTGTTTTATCCACAACCAATTTCAATAAAGAATACTGCAGAATCAACTATATAAAGAACTAAATTGAACAAAACATGCATGAGAACCAATGATATCAATTCGAAAACTGACAAAAAGAAAATCTTGCAAATGTCAACATGGATGACATATTCTGTCAAAAGACAATTATCATATTTCTACCAAGCAAATAAATGGTGTAAACACAAATTGCAAGTTGTCATTGTAAACAGAATAACTCTCTGACTCTGTGATTCAGATAACTCATCCATTTTAAGCAAACAGATTTTATTTGTTGTGAAGAAAGAAATTCTGTACAATCATATATGAAACTCTTCCAGCGTATGACAAAATGACACGATATTAGGGGACCGTGAGACCGAAAGATGACCGTAGTGCTCATAATAATTGGTACACTGGGAACTATCTCAAAGATTAGAAGGGTTGATATTGGTAGAAGATTTTTAAGAGCATTGTCAACAATCTCCCCCAGGCTATTGGTCTAATAGGTGGATTTGTATCTGGACAATTTACTGTTATTCTCAAAAGAAATAAATAAAAATTGTTAATGGAATATTCATTCGCATAAAAGAATTATTCTTACAATCCAATATATATTTCGACTTTGAATAACCCACAAAGGGTTGATAAACCGTAAAAAAATAAATCAATAAATCGCTGTTTCGATGTGCTTCGTCATTCTTTCGGTCATCTGATATTACTCTAACGTAATTAAATTTCTGTGCCTGCTTGACGGTAATGGCTTCAGTTCGAACTTTGGTTGTCTCTCTTGCTAACCACCATCTATGCTGTCTCATAGTTAGATGTTAGTCCTTTCTTTCTTCTCGCTTTCCTTTGCTACCTTGCCTAGGATATTTTTATTTCTGTTTCTGAGTCGCCATCATTACAGTTTTATACGCGTAACTTTTGCTGTCATCTTCTAAACTATACAATTAAAAGTGTAAAATCGTCATTATTTTCTGGACAAAATTTATATTTCCAAACGAAATGGCTCACCTATCATTTGCTATGGTGTTTTTCAGAATTAGGAGAGTGGCTGAAACTTTTGGGTTTTGGCGAAGACTACACTTCCCCGAACCTCATGGACTCGTGCTACAGAATTTCAAAGAACTGAACCAAATAACAGAAACTACATCACTTGAGGACAACCAACAACAGTGCCAAATAAAATGGATATCACATGTAAGTTGAAGAGAAAATAAAACAACATGTTGACGTTCCACATTATTTCAAATAAAAGCTTAGGAAGGAAACGCCTATCACTAATGGAAAGAACAATAACAGCTACTAGACTTGAGAACTCTAATTTTCTGAAAAATTGTTTTAAAAGAAAGTTTGATTTTTTAAAAAATTTCAACAGATAGTAAGATTGACTGCACGATCAATAAATATCGAATGTTTCCTTATAAGGAAACGGCTAATATTACCATTAACATTACTGGCCATCTGTAAGAGGATGTGAGCGAATATTTTATTTCCATTGATGGTAATAAAACTGTCTATTCACAAATCTTACAGAAAGGTTTTGCATTTAATCGAAAAGATTCTATTTGTAATAAGTAACTTTTCTATAGATTTCCGTTTGAAATAGTATCAGAATGTTTTCAAAATACCTCATAGTAGCGCCAACACTGAATGATATTAAACATTTTCAAATTTATTACATTAAGCGAAATGAAAAGATCTGCTGGGCGACGTTTAATTACAGCTGAAATTGAACGGATTTAAGCAAAACCTCATTTTATTAAGACGAATTTTGATTTTCGTTTTATCTTGGCAACCCGACTAATCTTATATTGATAAATAACAGTGTTTACGCTGACGGATTCCGTCACAAGGGGCTTCGTGATAAAACCCACCACCCACCAAAACATTTGCAAATAGGAGAGATTAAAGAAGGATTTAGGTTTCTGTTGCAAAGTTTCGTTTCTTGTTTTTATTTATTTTTAATGAAATCGTGAAACCTTTTTGTTGCAGACGATAATTTTCTGTTTTTATAAATGTATCGTTCTCCAAGCAACTCCATTAACCAAAAATGAAAAAAAAAAAATGTCGCCCATAACTTTTGTTATTCATACTCGCGAATTTACTAAGATTTTACAAGACTCGACCAACTATAAAATTGTTTGGTGTAAAAACAAGCCGTGGAAAAAAAAAGGATTAATGGTCATTG